TTGACTAAGTGACAATCTGAGAGGCAGTGGAAGTAGTGGCAGATTATGGAGAGCCTTGAATACCAGACAGGAAAGCCTGGACTTGATCTTCAGAAAATGGGGGTCTTAGAAGTTCCTGTTTATGAGGCCAAAGACCGATCCTGGTTATTTTGGGAGACAAAATAAGCATTCTTTAGAAAGAAGGTGTATGTTCACAAGTGTTATGAGCCTTAAATGGGCTGCAGAAATAATTTCAGGGAAAAATGATTTGAAATGGTATTCTAGTCTCATGGAGTGCAGCCAGAATTAGCCAAAATGAAATAAAATAGAATTTACAATTAATCAGTTTTTATATAGGCCTGAAAATAATGCTAGATTTATTAGATAATCAGAATTGAAAAGGAATTCTTAGGAATATCTCTGCTCTCATCATTTTTGAGGAAGTCTTTAAATACAAATATTAAGCTTTATTCACTACCATTTTCTTTTTCTTTTTTTTGCAATATTTATCTGATAACTCTTCATCTGATATAAGCTGTGCTAAGTAACATCTACTTCTGTCTCACAACCAAACTTTTGTTCTAACCACTCAGCTATCTGGCTACCCACATGCCACATACATGAAAAGGAAGCTGTCATTGTGACCGTCACATCTACTAGGCCACCCATGAGGAGCATAGTTCACACACACCTCTGATTCCCAGGCCATGTTCTCATGAAAACCAGAATTAACCAAAATGTAAAGTTTCTCTAAGCCCTATGGTGTCAGCTTTTTTCATGACCCGAATATAGCAGAGAATGTTCCAGACTGGCAGCTGAATAATTTAGTAACCCCAGATGATCTGGTATCCCAATTTGGTATCACTAACAATCACAAAATAAAAGTAGTAAATATCACACTGCTCATGGTCCCACCAAGATCCACTGTAAGGTCGGTTGTAAATGCTGGAGGCCTAAAATGAGCCACAGTGTGTGAACACTCGCCTACTCCTGGCCTTGTCTTTGAACTCTGATATGATGCTTGTGATTTCTAAAAGTGTGTGTGCCATTCAGAGCTTTCAACTAAACCCCAGCATTTAATTCTGCGTCTGCCTACTTGACATTTCCACCTACGGGATATGTCCTGGAAATATTCATAAGTCAAAATATCGATATGCACTTCTTTATGAACTGCCAGAACTTTGCTTCTTTTTCTGTGTTCTCCATTTCAGAGAATTATGCTGATCGCCAGCTTGCCAAAGCTAGAAACTTCTAGATTATTTAATGACTCCTTCTTTTGTAATTAGCCACAAACCTTATAGTATCTAATGCCTCTTTTCTTGTAGTTTATAACTGCTTTTACTTTTTACTACTGTTGACTTTGTTGACACCCTCATAACCCTCATAAGCAGAAAGATCTAATTTGAATCCCAGCTCTGCTGCTTTCTAGCTGTATGACTTGAAAGAGATATTTAAATTTTATTTCCTTGTCTACAAAAATCCCTTGTACCTCAATAAATCTGAAAAATATTGTGACAGTAAAGAAAGTTTTAATGATTGAAAACATGGGCTTTTTTAAAAAAGGATGCATTTAGAGAATGCCTGGGAGAAACTATAAATAAATAAATAAGCAGGTAGATAAAGTGAATCTCTGCCTTGCAAAGTAGTTTTGAGGATTATATGAGCTATTCTAGGTAATATTCAACATAGAATAGGGTTCACTGTAAACATTCAATGATGGTTAACCTATGTTCATCATCATACCTCACTCCACTTGTCTTTTGGAAAACTATTTAACCTCCCTGTGCCCAGCTTCTTCATCTGTAAAGCTGAAGAAATGATAATACATACTTCATGAAATTTTTCTGCGGTTTAAGTAATTCAAAACATTTTATACATGTAAATATTAGAAGTGTTTGGTTCATAGTAAGTACTTAATATGTGTTTAATATAAATATTAATGCTGTTATTGTCACCATGAGAGTTATTTTGTGTTTGATTTTATACCTTAATATTCAATTCTCCCATTTCACCACCAGAATCTACATACACTACAGATATCATCCTTTTTTCCCAGATCTTTCAATGGCATTCTCGCCCACAAAAGGTCCTACTCTGAACCTGTGTAACAGCTTGGAGCCTGACCTAGACCTTTGGTGTTCATTCTTATTTCCACTGCTCACCTGAAACTCTCTATATTGAGACCAAGGAAAAATCTATTTCCCTTCACCCACTAAACATAAGCAAATAACAAAAAAGTCATTTATCTTATACCTCTATAAATTATCTTCATCTCAGTCTAACAGATTCTAGCATGTAGTTTAAAATTCACCATAGTAGCCTACTGCTTTATGTAACTTCCTTTGCCTTCTCTAGCAGAATTATATGCTCCCTACTTAATTACTGTAATCTTGTCTTTGTACTTCTGAAGCCCAGTATTAAGTAGCAACACTTAATACATACTTGTTGAAAGGTATTGGGGCATTGAAAAATTACAGAAAGATTATATGTAAATATATATATGATAACTATATACATACATATATACACATGCATATGTACATATATATTTTTAGAAAAGACATAATCATAGAATATTGTTCTTGTGTTTATACTGATTCTCATACTTAAGACCTGTGCTAAAAATTGTTACCATTTATTAGGAAAATATATTTGCTTTGGCTTTTTTATAATTATCAAGTTCTCCCTAGGACAAACAGTACACTGACAAGGTGCATAGATGGTACAAAGCCTGTGTCTGTAAGACATGACACTGGTTGATGCACAATGTATTAGTCACTTTTTTTTTGTAGCTGAGTTAGCTTCAGTAAAACAATTGTTCTATCAAGCTGAGATTTACAACCAGTTGAAACTGTGAGAAGTAGGGTGGAGGGGTTAAGAAAATGGGCTCCGCTTTTAGAAAATCCAAGTTCAAACCTAGGCTACTTCCTTATGAAATGGAACTAATAATGATACCCACATAAAAGGATTATTGAGAGTATTAAACAAAGTAAAATGAGTTAAGTTTTAAACTAAGGCTCTACCAAACATTCAAATTACCAAGACTCAGACAACTACTATAAGCCTTACTGTCATCAGTCTGCTTGGAAGGATATAGAACAGGAACTAGAACTTGGCATTATTGTAGTATCAGACATTGATCATCTGATTGGAGTTCTCCTAGATATCCATGCAGCACAACTTAAATTCAAGAAGATGAGTTCCACATCAGGTAGGCCCAGGAGTCTCCCTGACTTAAAAGTTTCATTTCCCACAGGAGATGATATCCCTTGAAGTGATCCAATATTCATAGCCTCCAAGATCAACACAAAAGGCAACCTCTGTTTTGAGAGTTCCACATGCGTCAAAGTCCAAAACTATGGTTGTTTACCAGCTATTTATAGTTTCCCCAGTGTAGGTGCAATTTATTTAATGGAGTCATTTTATCATAAATAATATAACCTAGTAGACATTCCAACTTTCATCAGGTTACCAGGGTAAGTGACTGGAGGCAGTTAACTAAAGGTCACATTCTCTACAAAAGGTTGAAAGGAATTGTTAATCCTTTGTCTGAACTTACTAAATTCAATTCAATTGAATATTAGCAAGAGGATAATATATGCATATATACACAAAAGTATTCGCAGGGAAGATAAGAAATTATATCTAGAGGAAATGAAGTATGTAGAATTTTGTAAGAGAGGAGTTACAGAAGGCACCATTTAATCATGTTTACCAGATTTTCATAGATAAACTCATAAGTATAAGAGTGAAAACTTGCTCATCACAGAGACAGTATTGCTCCATGGTTAGCATGTCAATACATGACATTTGAGTAGAAATGGGATTTTGGTTCTCACTTGTTGTAGGGAAAATAGAGCTAACTCACAGAGCTCTGTTACCACCACTCTCAGATGATCTTCTCCCCAGATCTTTCAACTCTGACAAATTGACTGTGATGCTCTGAGCTGCAATTGTCTCCTAGGAATGCAATTTTCATGCACATGCCAGGAGAATTAAGAAGATTGAATGTGAGTTGTTACATGAAAATGGACCAACCTCTCTCTATGGTTGATTACCACAGTTAAATATAGCACCTGAATGATGAGACAGAATTATGAGTGCATTTTCCCATTGGGCCAGATGGCTCTTCATGTGAAAGCTGTCTGTGTCTTTTAAATATACACTACTGATTATTGAGAATGGGCGTGAGTTCAACTAAGAATCAACAAAAGTCCATTCAATTCTAGGAAAACACCTCAAAGTACATGTGCCCTTAGCCCTTGGCATCCATTTCATCACCTTTACCTCCACACATTGACATTACAATTTAGGATCCAACATCCCTTTAATTCAAGTAGGAGCAGATAGGTAAGAGTTCAAACTTAAATATTTTACTGATAAAATAAATATTAGCAATATTTAGAGGATTTCTATATAGTGTGTGGGCAAATAGATCTATGTGTCTGATACTTAGGATGTTTTTAATTAGGATACCCACATGTATACTGTGTAACAAAGTATCAATGGAAAAAAATCATGTATTTGAATAAGCACACATTATAATTTTGTCACATCTAAAGTTTCAAGAAACATTAAAAATAATGTTAAGGCACATATTAAATTATTTATTATATTCATCACAATATTTTATAAAGTCATCCAGGCATGGGTGTTTAAATGCTTAAACAGAATGGAAATTAGCATATGTTAACAGTTCTTGGTTTCTCATTTTCTAAATTAAAACAAATCTGGAACGAGTAAAATGAACAATATGGTAAACTTAGCTTCAGCTCATTTTGCTTAGTCTCCTTTATTTTCTATGAGTGGTTTAACAACTCAGAAAACAGGAGGAAATGCAAATGTTAGCTTTGAGTCTAACTGCTTTCCACATCATAAATGTTGATATATTTTCAACGAAATGGGCGTCACAGCTCCAAGCAGACATACAAATGCCCAAGCTGACTTCCCTCTGTAATGTAGGAGACTAAGTTTGTAACTGCCTGTGAATATTTAATGAGGACATCAATGCTTTTTTGCAGCTTTTGCCAGCAAGAGAAGCTACCAATGACCTTCCAGTCCTGTGTGATCACCAAGGAGTGCCAGGTTTCCGAGTGGTCAGAATGGAGCCCATGCTCAAAAACATGTCACGATGTGGCATCCCCTACCGGCACTCGTGTAAGGACACGTACTGTCAGGCAGTTCCCTGTTGGTGGTGAAACGGAATGTCCAGAACTTGAGGAAGATGAGCCCTGTGTGTCTCAAAGAGATGGAGTTACCCCCTGTGCTATGTGAGTAAATCAAGAAGAACGTTGCGTCTGCCCAAATTGTGTTGTTTGATTTCAACCGAACTCTATGCTGAGAAATAATAATCTTTACACGTTCTAAGTAGAACAGGAAAATATCTCTTTACAAATGTCATCCTAAAAAATACTTGTTTTACAGAACAAAGCTGTCTTTAACAAACTTTACTTCCAAATATCCACAAATTTAGATTACTAGAGCAGTTCTGTGTGTTTGTATTTTCTGTAATAGGATAGGCACACTTTTTCTGTAAAGGGGCAGGTAGTTAATACAGTAGGCTTCACAGGTCATGTGTGTGTCTGTTGTAGTGATTCAACATGGCTACTATAGCTGTAGATAGTATGTAAACAAACAAGCCTGACTGTGTTTCTATAAAACTTTATTTACAAAAATAGGTGACAGGTTAATTTGCTCTTTGGGCCATTGTTTGCCAACTTCATTCTATAAGGTAAAATAAATTTTCCAAACATACTTTTCTGTTACCTATTAAAATTCAGTACTGTATGTAACAGATTCTATCCAATAGAGTAAAATAGTACATTGAGATAATGAGACTTGTAGCTCCTTGAGGACAAAGATTGTGCTTATTAATCTGAGGAGGGTTGGGTTTTTTGTTTGTTTACTTTTTGTTTTATCGTTAGCATATATCACAGGGCCTGGTACACAATAAGTGTCCAACAATTTTCACTGAATTCAGATGAAATAAGATTATTTCTTAAATATTTGGCTATATATCAGTATTCTTTTTTCTTTAAAAATGATGTTTCCAAGATATTATTGTGAATTATCTTGGCAACACCAATATTTCAACTTAGTCTGAATATAGAATATTTATAAAACAACTTTAAAAATATTAGTTTTATAGTAGAGATGTGTAGACTTCATTGAGAACTTCTCTGGAATATTCCAGTTATTTAAAGGACATGCATACAGCTCAAACTTTATGAACCAGTGAGGAGGCAAATGAATACTACTAATGCTACTACAAACAATAACCTCAGAAATAGCAGTCATGTATACCAGATCTTCAATTCTGCAGTACTTTGGACTCATCCATTGTGCTCTGATGTAACAAGTGACTGAAAACCCCACAGAGAAATTCCTTCCCAGTGTTTCCCTCTCCTACTCACTGTTGTGGTTCCCCTTTACATGAGGGGCTGGAGGAAGTTGACAGGATTTCCAGATTGTTTTCTCTCCTGTGAATTCTCTCGTATTTTTTATCTCAAGCTAAGTGCTTTTTTCTTTATCTTCTCAGATATTAATACACCATTAACAAGATAAATAGACGTCTTTGAGCCTCTTTTTCTTTCCTCTTTCTTGGGGGTAGCATTTTTCTTAGAATGTTACATTCTTGAAAGTCTATTTCTCTCACAGGACTCCTTAGGATGACTGAAATGGGAACTTATTCTATAAACAAATAAATAAATAACCATGATGATGTCCCTTACAAGTGACTTGTGTGGTTTTACTTCCCCTCCTGCCCCTGTCAGGCATCAATTATCCAAACTTCTAAAATTGGCCTGAGTGCTGGACTTTCTTCATACACAAATATTAAGAGCATTGTTTACTGATGACCCAGTCCTACAACTGAGTTAAGCTGTGAATCACCACTTGTAAAAGTGAAAACAAGCATGAAGCTCAGCCTTATTGTCAGGAAACTTTGCCACTGACAGACCGAAGCACCTGGATCAGACATGTGAGAGCCCATTTAGCTTTATTTGTCTGATTGAGGTGAACATTAGCACATCTCTTTGTACCTATGTTGGCTGTTCACCTGATTGCTAAGGAAGCATCTTAGTTAAGGTGACACAAAGTGCCACATGAGCCATTTTCTTTGTGCTTTTAGAATATCCATTTTCCTTGAGGTGGAGAAATGCCATCACTTCCTATCATCAGTGGCATCACAAGATGGCTCCCTGGCTATCTCCTTCAAGCATGTATTGGGCTGACAATCCCCTGACATTCCTTTCACTTCATAATCTTGATGGGAACTTTAATTGAGCATCATAGATTGTCTTTCCTGAGCTTTGCTGATTAGAAACATCAGTTCCTTGCATCATTTATCAGCACTCACTGGGGATGCTCAGTGCCACAGGAAAAAAAAATCTTATTCTTGAGAATAAAGAGAAAACTCTGAATGGTTCTGTTAGGTTTTTTAATCCTAACACACATTGTCATTTTGCTAGAGTGCAAAGAAGCAATTTTCACTCATTTTATTAAAAGCAAAACAGACGTTTAGGCTCATCTTATCTTAGAATGTTTTCCATTTTCAGATTCAGTCCTTCTTTGTTTATGAGCAACAAGAAAGGGCAAGTCTGGGTTCAGCTTAATTGAACATAAAATTTCATGTTTTCAGCAGGACGCTCTCTTTTCATAAAATATTTATAAGTAACTTCCAGTAGTTGCAATTAAAACAGGATCACCCTAAATTTAACCCCTCTTTAAGTGGAACACTGCTGAGTATGAGGAAGAGACTGAAACTGAGTATGCATCATAGATAGAGTCTACGAGGGATTCTGTAAGCAAATGTTTTTAGGTTAATCTTCTAAGGAAAAAAAAAAGAGGAATGGAAAGCATTTCTATTCAACAAATGTGGTTGCCGATGCCGGCATGTTGTTGCCTTAGGTATGGCTGGAAGACCACAGAGTGGACCGAGTGCCGTGTGGATCCACTGCTTAGCCAGCAGGACAAGAGGCGTGGCAACCAGACAGCCCTCTGCGGGGGAGGCATCCAGACCCGTGAGGTGTACTGCGTGCAGACCAACCAAGACCTCCTTTTGCACCTCCATGCTCACAGAGACAGAGAAGGTAAACTTTTCCTTCTTCTCAAGTACTCCTTATGGAGACCGAGTGTGACTGCTCAGGATAAACATAGACATGATTTAGACATACATCAGTATATATCCTTGATCTTCTTGGATGTGAAGAGCTGCACTTCTGTTCACATGGTGGTTGGTATTCACTTTGGCCAGCAGAAATCCACGAGACGTATGTAAAAATATTTAATACAACTCCATTTTCCATCAGTTCTTCTTTCCTGACAAGTCTCTTTTTTTTAAACATGTAATCATTTAATTTTTTTTATTTTAAAGATGTGGGATGCAATTCAGGGTTAGGTATACAAGTGTTCATTATGCAAATACCCTAGTTGATGAGGAGTATTCCCCACCCCCGGCAGATTCCCACTACTGCTAATCCCATCCCATTCCCCTCTCCCTGGCAGTTTCCCACTACTGCCAAACCTTTTCTTATAGTATTATGATAACTGATCAAGATCCACTTATGAGTAAGAACATGTGATACTCAGTTCTTTGTTTCTGTGATAGATCACTCAGTATTATAGACTCTAAGTCTATCCAAGTTGCTGTGAAGTTCATAATTTTGTCCTTCTTTATGGCTACATAATATTCCATCATGTATTCCACATTTTTTTAACCCAGTACTCTTTCAATGGACAGTATGGTTGGGTCCGTGTTTTTGCTATTGTGAACAATGCTGCAATAAACATACATGTGCAGGTATGTTTTTCATAGAGTGATTTGAGTTACTCCAGCTATATTCCCAGTAGGGGGATTGTGGGATTATATGGAAAGTCAAGTTTTAGTTCTTTTAGGACAAGTCTCTTTTAAAATTTTTGCTCTAAAAGCTTTCCTGACTCAACCTATACCTCAAAACTTAGCAGATATAATTACAAAATGAGAATAAAAATGTATCTTATAAGGATATACATATAATGCAAGTAGACATTTTAAAGTCCAAAGTTATCTTTATGTAAGAAATAAAACCAGCTTATTAAAAAAACTCATTTTGATAAAATATGCTTAAGAATAAGTTAAATATGATATTGAACAAACTTTTCAATTTGAATTTAAGTGGAAAAAGTACAGAATAAAAATTACAGTAAAAGAAATCTTTAACCCAAAGGCTTTTTTATTCCTCTTAATGTTTTAATAGTTTGGCAGACATGTCTTAGAATTTTTTTTTTTTATCTCAGTTTTGTGACCAGATGCAATAAGCATACAAAAGGATAAGTGAATCCAATATGGCTCCTGTTGAAAGCATATACTATTATATTTTGATTAATATTACTCTAATATTCTCATCATTATTGGACCAAGTTCATATTGAATCAGTAACTCTTAAACCCACACCCCCTGAATGTAAATACTTTTGAGCAGTGGTGTAAGTAGTCTTTATATTCTCTCTACCTGAGGGATCTCAGGACTTCTATCACTAGTCCCTTGAACATATACTGGGTTGCTAACAGTTTCAAAAATTGTATGAGAGAATGAGGCTAGCAGTATCAGTATAGGTGGCATGGCAAAAAAGTCCTCAAAGTCATCATGAGGGCACATAAACACACCAACAGTTAAAATATAATATGCTATGTCATACAAGTGAGGATTAGAATGACTATAGAGGGGGTCATAGAAACAGCCCTTCCTAGTAGATGTGACAGTTGAGCTGAGTGATGCTGAAGATGCTAGCTATGGATAAGTGGCTCCGGAGTACAAGAGGGAATTTATTCCAGGCAGAAGGAGCAGTGTATATTAAAGCACAATGCCAAAAAGGACAGATCTTGACAACAAGTTGGCCATTTTATATTCAGCAAGTTGTAGAAAGACTAGGATAGGATAGTATTTCCTAGGTATGCTGTTTGGAACAGGAAAAGAATAAAGAGAAAGGCCCTTTTTGAAAGACTGAAAAGGAGAATATTCAGGAGATAAATCTGAGTAAGAATGATCAAAGAAGAAGGTAAAACATTAAGAAAATGAATGCTTTAAAAAACAGAAGAAGAGATGGCTCCTCTGCCCCTCTCAGAAAGTGTGACACCAGTGATCAGTAATTCACGGAAGATAAGCACTGAAGATTTGCATTTGCAGTTTCCAAAATTCAGTTGTTCAGTATCCACTGACTTTACACAGCATGTCAACCCTAAGCATCTAGCCTAGGGATACATTTTACTACTAATGTGTCTTGAGATTGTAAGGAAGAAGCATAAAACATGTAATGTTAGTACATTAATATTTTCTTGGCTACTTTAATGGCTTCATTTTTAGCACTCTTAAGTAGATTTATTATAGCAGTCTTTTCAGAGTAGTATAATTTCATTGCTAGAGGTAGATCAGATTTTAGTTTCTGAATGTCAATTATGTCTCATAGATTATTACTTTCAAAAGATCCTTTGGAATTTGGAATTGCAACTGGATACTTTTTTATATCATTTTTTTCTTAGAGTCCCCCATATTCCTGCTAAACAACTGCAGATACTAAAAATAGAAGTCACAGAAAGAAAAGAAAAAAAGGAAGAATATCATTATTAAGATGTATTTGTTGTACTAAAGCAAATGCCAAAGTAAAGGTCAATAGATATGGAAGTAATTAATTCACCTAAAATTAATATTTATCATGTAAATATGTAGCATGAATAATTTAGCAATCTGTGTCCTTTTATATTAGATACCAAGAATACTAATAAGCCTCTTAAAGTCTTTTCAAAAACCGTTGACTCTAAAAGTTGCAGCTTTCATTCCTCAGAATTTAGACTATGTAAGTTTCCTCCCAGGAGCACTTAACATTTCCCAATATGAAATGTATCCAGTCCACCATCATACCAGGAGTGACATGTAGAGGCTATAAATATTGCGAACAGAGAACAGTTAGACTGTGGGCTGTGAAGATTGGTCACAGTCCATCTGCATTCGATAAATATGAAAGAATGAAAGCTTGCCTAATAAAGAGAAAGAAACTTCCCAAAATGTCTCCCCCAACCAATCCTAATAAGACACTAATTTAAAAACACCTTGACTGTGTAAACAGGAACAACCTGCCCTACAAACAACTCATTTGATGAACAAATCTACACTGTTTTGGTTTTTTTTTTTTTTTTTTGCAGATTCACACCATGTGCTCTATAGATGATGTGTTTTTACATTTAACCAAGGTGTTAAAAATACGTTAACTCAAAAAGAAAATATTTTAACTCAAAAATAGATTTTGTTGATACAAAAATACTGAAAGCAAGGAGATTCACATAAATTTCCTTTATTAGCTTGCCACATCATGTTACACAGAGTCATGGTAATGACCACCTTAGCACAAAGACAGGAAGAAAATCACTTTATTCATTGGAATAGTCATTACTATTAATGATTCACACCATACTGGCCAGAAACATTCTCATCCTTGTATTTTACATTTCTAATTGCCAGAAAATCAAAGTATATATTACTAAAGTACTCATAAACTATTTAGTATTCACAATTTGGTATGCAGTTTGTGTCAGTTGAATTCTATCATCAGAACTTTGATTAAATTGGTGATAGCATCTGTAGACAATAGGAAGAATATATCTAATTGATATCAGGGTCCATATTTTATTCTTGTACTGCTTGCTGCTAGCTATAGGTAACCTTCCTCATCCTGCCAAATTTTCCTCCACAATTTTCAGTTGAACAAAATTTCCACTGTATCATTTCTTCAAAAGAAAGGCTTGACTAGTTCCCTCCTGAGACAGTTAGAAGTAAAACTCTTGACAGCTTCTATTCAGCCAGCTAATCAGAGTTCCTGCAGGCTGTGAAGAATGTCTGACTTATGTGGGTGTGAAACCTACCCTTATCAGAATATGGCCTTGCCTATGGAGGGATTAGAAGTCCTGAAAACCTGATGAAAATGTTGTTGATCATTGGATGCATGGGCATAAATTGATTTTTCTTTTTAGAGCTCAAAATGAAATGCAAGTAGATTTTACCCACAGTAATTCAGGAAATTCTTCCATCTAGTAAGTTTTGAGTATGTCTTTAAATGAGAGAAACTAAAAGTATTTGTTATAAGGCACAATGAAGCATACAGTGACTTATAAGAAACTTAAGAGCATTCCTCTGTAGAAAACATTTCAAACAATCCACACTAAAGTCTGGATATGGTCTGTGGGATTAGGGTTATTTAGAAAGACAGCCTAGACAGTGAGCCTGTATGATAGTGTGGAGTGAGATGTACCAGGAGGATCAATCAAAGTTAGATGGAGGGAAAGATGATTGAACTATAAATGGATCAACTATGGATAAATAAAGAACTCATATTTTTCCCATGTTCAAAAAAGAAATAATAAAATAAAATAGTCACACCCGTCCTAAATGGAATGCATTTACTTGTCTTTGTTGTCTTTTATCTACAATTTCTAAAAATGAACCCACTTTAGTAAAAGTTTTTTGAAAAAAGAAAAGATAAGAAAGACTCTGCTTAAGGTGCTATTTCCCTATTATTTCAGAAAGTAAATATCAGAGTACATCGAAGTCTAGTTCCATACCTTTCTTATCCATCACTTTTGAAATAACAGGTAGGTGAGAGCATTTTGCATATTTCTGTCAGACATATGTATCAGAGAATTGTGGGTCCCTGATACCCAAGAGATTTGCCATAGATTCCCTGATGCAATCCTTACATCATCTATGAAAGGTAATGGTTTACTTTTATTTTCTACTTTGCTAGAAATATTTTGAAGCTCTCCCAAGAAATAGAATGTTTGTTTGTTTTTTTTTTTGGTTTCTGACTTTCTATTCTGTCATTATATACATGTAAATTACAGAGAAACATTAAAAGATTTTTAAATGTACTGCTTTTTACAACTTTAACTAGAATATGGTAATTATGCAAGCAGGTATACAAAGTATGGTAATGAACACTTTTGTTGAGAGAAACTAATGTAAGTATGGACACTCTTAATAACATATATTTCTAAGTGGACTACTTTGTGTTCAGCTAATCTTAATGTGGTAAATGAAAAAGAAGCTAAAACACACGATGAC